GCCCTCCTCACTCTACACCATCACCTGTGCCCTAAGTCAAGTGTCTATATACTTACAGCTCTGTTCTGGGATTGCTGTTCTGTTTCATGGGTCTATTGATCCATCCTGTGTCAATACCCAGGTCTTGACTACAGTAGCTTCATAACAAGTCTTGTACCAGATAAAAGCAAGTCTTCCCACCTTGTTTTTCTTCATGAGTGAGTTTTGGAAAGTTCTCAGTCATTACCTCTGTTTCTGCCCTTAATCTCAATCTCCAAATATACAGATAGTAGATCTCACCATAGCCTCTACATTTCTGTATCCACCAGGATAGACTAGGATGTTGATATGGTTTGGATCTATGTCCCCACCCAAATCTCATGTCGAATTGTAATCCTCAGTGTTGGAGGAGGGGCCTGGGGGGGAGGTGTTTGGATCATGGAGGCTGATTTCCCCATGGTCTTCTCATGATAGTGAGTTCTCATGAGATCTGGTTGTTTAGAAGTCTGTAGCGTCTCCCCCTGCTCTCTCTTCCTCCTTCTCTAGTCATGTAAAATGTGCCTGCTTCCCGTTGGCCTTCTGCCATGAATGTAAGTTTCCTGAGGTCTCCCTAACCACACTTCCTGTACAGCCTGCAGAACCATGAGTCAATTAAACCTCTTTTCTTTATAAATTACCCAGTCTCAGGTAGTTCTTTTTTGGCCATGTGAGAATGGACTAATACAGATGTGCTGTGGAACATGCAGTCTCCAAATCTCAATGGCATAAAACAAAATGAGTTTATTTTTTACTTATGCTACATGTCCATTGAGGGTTAACAGGGGGCTTCTGCTAATTGTAGTCTTTCAGGGACCCAGGCTGACACAGCAACCACCATCTTGAATATTGCTGGTCAGTATACCAGAGGGAAAGAGCTGAGGAGGGTCTAGCACAAACACTTCTACTTATAGCTCATTGGTCACATCTAGTCATTTGGCTCCACTGAAACCACAAATTGGTCAGGAAGTTTAATCCTATCCTATGTCTAGAAGGTGGAGGGATGGACATGTTTGATGATCAGCACTAATAACTACCACAGTTTTTTACCCTTTTCTATATTTTCCATCCTTTTGTTTGAGTTTATTCTGGATATTTTCTTGTGACATGTCTTTCAGTTTACTAATTCTTTCTTCAGCTGCATCTAGCTAGTTATTAAATCCATGCACTTTGTTCTTAATTTTGGTTATTTTAATTTTCATGTCTAAAATTTTATTTGGTTCCAGCTGTCTGCTAAAATTCTCAATGTAGTCTCTCTCTTTGAGCACAGTAAATATAGCTTTTGAAAATCTGTAGCTAACTCTAATATCCTGATCCCTCATGGAGCTATTTCTATCATTTGTAGTTTCTGCAGATTTTTGTTTATATTGTCTTGTATTTTCCTGTGCCTTTTTATTGTATCTTTTTTTTTTTTTTTTTTTGAGACAGAGTCTTCCTCTGTCACCCAGGCTGGAGTGCAGTGGTGTGATCACAGTTAACTGCAGCCTTGACCCCCTGGGCTCAAGTGATCCTCCTGCCCCAGCTTCCCAAGTAGCTAAGACTACAGGCTTGAGCCACCACGCCTAGCTATTTTTTTTTTCTCTGACACAGAGTCTTGCTGTGTCACCCAGGCTGGAATGCAGTGGCATAATCTCAGCTCACTGCAACCTCTGCCTCCCAGGTTCAAGCAATTCTCCTGCCTCAGCCTCCCAATTAACTGGGATTTATAGGCACACACCACCATACCTGGCTAATTTTTGTATTTTTAGTAGAGATAGGGTTTCACCACGTTGGCCAGGCTGGTCTCAAACTCCTGACCTTGTGATCTATCTGCCCACCTCGGCCTTCCAAAGTGCTGGGATCCCAGGCGTGAGCTACCGCGCCTGTCCTAATTTTTTTTATTTGTTTGTAGAGACTGGATTTTGCCATGTTGCCCAGGCTGGTCTTGAACTTCTGGGCTCAAGCAATCTGCATGCCTCGGCCTCCCAAAGTGCTGGGATTACAGGCATGAGTCACCTTGCCTGGCCATGTCATGTTTTATTGGTAGGAATAATTTGAAGCCTAGAAAGGTATTTTTCACTCTTTTTTCCTGAGGATTTAGCTTTTGCCATGTATTGGGGGTACCAAAAGTCTGGAGTCACTTCACCAACTTCAGGGATTAAGAGGATTTGAAGCTAAGCTGAAGTCGACCTTACTCTGAGGTTACTGTCCTTAGGATCCCAAAGTGAGGATTAAATGTGCATATTCATAAATTCCTTCACTCACCCACCCACGTTTATTTTATTTTTATTTATTTTTATTTATTTTATTTTTTTGAGACGGAGTCTGGCTCTGTCGCCCAGGCTGGAGTGCAGTGGCCGGATCTCAGCTCACTGCAAGCTCCGCCCCCCGGGTTCACGCCATTCTCCTGCCTCAGCCTCCCGAGTAGCTGGGACTACAGGCGCCGCCACCTCGCCCGGCTAGTTTTTTGTATTTTTTAGTAGAGACGGGGTTTCACCGTGTTAGCCAGGATGGTCTCGATCTCCCGACCTCGTGATCCGCCCGTCTCGGCCTCCCAAAGTGCTGGGATTACAGGCTTGAGCCACCACGCCCGGCCCCACCCACATGTTTATATTTGCAAATTTATATTTACAAATGTAGACAGAGTCATTGATAAATGAATGTGCAGAGGAATGTCCATAAATGAATATGTCTCTATAGTCATCTCTCCTATTTATTTAGCCATTTATCTGTCCAAACAATCAGGTGTACGCTAATCTATGAATTAACTCATCCGTGCATTAGCCCAGCCACTGGACCAACTGACAGAAGACCTGAGCTGGGCACTGTTCTAGGTACTTAGGGCACATCCTTGAACAAAACAAAGTCCCTTCTGTCACAACTCATAGTGCAGTGGAGATACCAGGCTACCAGAGCGGGCAGGGCTGGGCTGGAATTTTAAGAAAGGTGGCCAAGGTGGGCTTTGCTGAGAAGGTGACGTACAAGGGAAAACTTGGAGGGGAGGGAATGAGGGCTGTGAACGTCTGAGGAGCTTCCAGACAGGAAGACTGGCCAGTGTAAGATCCTGGGGGACAAGGAAGGAGCCCCTCTGGCTGCCGGGGAAGGAGGCACAGAGGCTGGAGATTTGGGGGCTGATGGAGGAAGAAGGACCAGGAGAGGGCAGCAGCACGCAGTGAGCGTTATTCTGGCCGCACTTGGACAGGTTTTCACAGAGAGCTTGGCACCTACGGGAAACTGCTCAGAAGCAGGACGGGGCACCAGAGAGTTCCAGAAGGCAGCCCAGCCTGAAGGTTTTTGTAGCCCCAGGGTTTGTCTCACCCACCACTGGCAGATGCGGGTTCAGTTTTGCAGGGTATGCAAAGAAGCAGGGTCTAAATGTCTAGAAATATGCATATTTGGGCTCTATTTAAAGCAAACGTCTGTGTAAAATTTCGATTTTGGCCCTGGTGGGCTTTGAACTTTTGGTCCCAGCTACTGGGAAGCAGATAGCATAGGGCCGGTCCTCAGGCTGTTGTCAGCCTGTGGATCCATCAGGTGGCCGTGGAGGTGAGTTTACCACCTGTCTGCATGTCCCTGGCCCCCCGCAGACCTGCAGGCCCCCTATACTGCCCCTTCTCTCCATCTCTGCTCCCTGCATCTGTAGACAAATGCTTAAGTCGGCACCAGCTCGGCCAGGATGGTGGTTACCCGAGGCCACGCCGCGCCACCGCTTCTCTCGTTCTCGTCTGCTCTGTCCCCCTCCCTCCCACACTTCTGTGAGTTCTTCCTGGTTCTGCCCACATTCAGTCTCCCTGGCTGCACTTGTCTGCGGCCAGTCTCCCTGGAAGAGCTACAGGGAACTCATCCTTCCCCACCCCTTTCCCCTCATCCTGGCTTCATCCTTCCCACGCCATGAACCCCTTTCTCTATGGGAACGCCGGCCGCTCACCTGCACACCCCTAATGCAGTGCCTTCTGCCTGCTCCGTGGCCCGTGTCTGTCCACCTCCACCTGGCCCCGTTGCCAGGCCTGCCACACCCTCTCGGTCTGTTCTTGGTTGTGGCACCCACCTTCAGCCACCTGCTCTCCTTCTCCCAGGCCTCTGCTCTCCAGCCAGCAGCTCCTCAGGCCCCAACTGTTTCCCAGGCCTGATTCCGAGTACAAGAGTCTCCCTGCCCCACCTGGCCCTTCTCAGCTACTGCCTTGCCTCCTTCCGCTGTCATCCAGCCATTAGGGAGCTCGCCACACTAGACGGCAGGCCCTGGTCACCCTGCCTTCCCAGAGCAGGATGGGGCAAGTGGCATTCACACACGGAAACACCCATGCACAGCTTCCTGGTCAAGGGTGACGCTGGGACTGGCCCGCCACCAGGCGCACGTGGACCTGCTCTGAGCTCCTGCTCTTCCTGCCTCCTCACTGCGACCCCTCCACGCATCATCCCTGCTCCACAGACAAGGAGGCCCCGGCACAGGACGTCAGGGACTCACCCAGGGCAGCTGGGCTTTGAGCTCGGCTCTCTGCACCCACTCCTTGCTCCTAGAGTGATGGGGACTCAGGAGGGTGAGAGGCAGCGGCAGTCCCAAGGGTTGTGTCCTGCAGGCAGAGATCTACGGGAGACCACAGAGGAGGGAGATCCAGGGTGCATGTCCTGTGGGCCAGCCTCCTACTCAGAAAGCAGCAGTGGCAGCCGAGGCCTCAGGCGTGTACTTGAGTCTGGCAGAGGCAGGAAGCCTGGGCCAGGTCCTGGGGGAGTGAAGGGGAAGGAAGCCTTTGGAAACCCAGCCACAGAAGCAGGTTCCTGCTTGGACTTGGTCAGGAAGCCCAGGAGAATTCCGGGTGGTCTGGGCTTTGGGGACAGCAGTACCACAGTGGCTCATGCTTTGGGGCCCACCATGCACCAGCTGTGAGCACTAAGGCCTTTCTGCACAATGGCACCCTTTCTCCCAAATGGGAGAGCAACCGTTCCTCTCCAGGCTGAGAAGACTCAGAACAAGCACCGAGTGTCCGACAAATGTCGTCTGTCACTAGGTGGCCTCACTGGACACCGTGGCGAGCGTGCTGCACTCGTGGGACCTGAGCCTCACGGAGGCCATGCTCCAGAACATGGAGGCAGAGCAGCAGCGCCGGGCCCAGGAGGCCCAGAGGCACAAGGAGGCTGAGGCCAAGCGGTGTGGCAGGCAGGAGGGGTGTGGGAGGTGCTGGCAAGGGGTGCTGGCGAGGGGCGCTGGCAGGGAGCACGGGCAGGGAGCGTGGGCAGGGGGTGCTGGCAAGGGGCGCTGGCAGGGAGCGCAGGCAGGGAGCGTGGGCAGAGAGCGCGGGCAGGGTGTGCTGGTGGGGGGGCTGGTGGCACTGGCAGGGAGTGCGGGCAGGGGGTGCTGGTGGGGGCGCTGGCAGGGAGCGTGGGCAGGGGGTGCTGGTGGGGGCGCTGGCGGAAGCCTCTGCCCCAGCTCATTCCCGCTCCCTAGCATGACCCTCAAGGTCCAACAGCTGGCCAGGGAGCAGCAGCAGTGTCACAAGGAGGTGAGTGTGTCCTCAGGGAGGAGCCAGAAAAGAAGGGAGAGCAGAGTGGGGAGGAGGGGGAGCCGAGGGAGGGCCAGGAAGCTGGGGGAAGAGCTAGGAGGGGAGGTGCCCTCAGGCCCCTGGGCCAGGAGTGACCTGGTCGGAGGGTACTGGCCGGCCTTGCCAGGGCCAGCCTTGCCAGGGCCAGCCTTGCCAGGGCCTGCCCGTACACCCACCCAGTTGCAACAGGCGTACTGTGAGCTGAGCCGGAGGATCACAGAGCACGACCAGTGTGAGTGGAGGTGCATGGACAAGACCAAGCTCACGCTGCAGGTGGGAGCCCATGGTGGACTTACTGTGCCCCTGCGCCCTTACCCCCTCTCCTTGTTCCACACCAGCACAGGCCCTCCTCCCCCGCCAGGCCTGGAGTTTTTCCCTCTTAAACATGGGGAGTCACCAGTCAACAGTGGCCTCCTCGAGGTGGGGTGGGGAGGAGGCTCAGGCAGGTACCCTCTCCAGCCAGAGCGTGGGGCAGGGCGAGCGACTGTCAGTGTGGCCCCCTTCTCCAGGCCATCAAGGACGCAGAGGCCCAGGTGGACAGGCTGCGGCAGGAGGCCCAGAAGGCCGAGGAGGCGCTGGCTATGGCCAGACTGGAGCTGCGGGAGCAGACGCAGGAGGGTGGGCTTGGCATGGGGCACTGGCTGGGGGCTGGGAGATATGGCCCAGGGCGGGGTCCAGCATTGGGCTTGCCTGTCAGCTGCACTCTGCTACCCCTACAGGGGAGGAAGAGGCGCCCGGGCTGAAGTGCCAGGTCACCGAGCTGCACGACGTGCTGATGAAAGATGTGGGCAACCGCATTCGCGCCGATGGCCGGTCAGTGCTCCGGGCCAGATGTGGGCGATTTGGGGTTTGGACAGAACAGTGACTCGATGGGTGTCCCCAGGTGGCCTCTTGTCATTGACCCTTCGGGCCAGGCAGCCACCTTCCTGCGCTACCAGGACACCAACTATGTGGACACAGTGAACCCGGAGCACCTGAAGCCGGAGAGGCTGCGGCTGGCTCTCCTGGGGGCTCTGCGGTGAGGCAGGCAGGGTCAGGTACACCCCCCCCACCCCCCAGCCCCCCCCCCGGCCTCACCAGCCTCATGGGGCAGGTATGGGAAGCCGCTGGTGTTCGACCTGCGTGAGGTAGACCTGTTCCCAGCCGTGCAGCGGCAGCTGGAGGTGGTGCAGCCTGGCCTGGCGCAGGCACTGCTGAGCCGCGGCCTGCTGGAGCAGGAGAGGTACCTGTCGCTGCTGCGGCCCACAGATGGGCCAGAGTATAGCCCCACGCAGTTCCAGGAGCAGCGCCTGGAGCACTTCCGCCTCTTTTTCGTCACCAAGGTCCAGTGGCCGCCAGCCGAGCAGCTGCAGGTGCTGCTCCCGGTGCGTGTGCAGCTGCCGGGCACAGGCTTCTAGTGCTAGCCCCAATAAAGCATGTGCCCCAGGGCGCGGTGTGGCATCTGTGCTTTGTGCATGAGGGGCAGCGGCAGTGTGTGAGAGTCCAGGGCCCTGGCTGTCCTGAGTCCCGGCTGGCAGACACAGGTTTGCAGGCACTTGGGGGAGGCCCTGCTGGGGATGGGCAGCCCGCCCGGCCCAACCTGTGCGCAGTGAGGCGCAACGGGAGACGTGGGAGGGAGGGGAGGGTGCAGCCCTCAGAACTCAGCCTGGCCTCGGAGGGCAGGAAGGGTCTGTGCTAGTGGGCGGGGGGGGTGGACAGGCAGACGGGAGGTAAAATGTAGTCAACTTTATTCTCCTTAAACCACAAAATAGAGTCTTTGGTTGTACAAACATCACTAGTTACAGTCTTGCCGAGGTCTCGGCTGGGGTGGGGCAGTTAGTCAGAGGCCAGAATTCCTGCGGGGTCTCTTTAAAATGCTAACACCCAGGTTAAAAGACTTGGGGCAAGGGTGGTGCTGGAGCTGGCAGGGCCCCCACCCCAAGTCTGGGGGAGGCGCCTGCTCCTCTAGGAGGGCACAGGGCCCAGGCCACGGCGCCCAGGCCTTACAGGGCGACGGCTGCTGCAAAGCGCCACATCTTCAGGGCCCACGGCGCCAGGAGCGGGCCTGCCCAGAAGCACCAGAGCCACTTCTCCATCCTCCTCCTGCGGGCCTGGCGGGCAGGGACAGGCGGGCAGTGAGCTGAGGGCAGCTGGGCTCCTGGGAGTTCACCCCAGCCCGGCCCCAACTCACCAGGGCTGGGAGATGGTTCCAGGGACCTCAACTCCTCAGCAAAGTCCGGCGACTGTGATGGGGAGAGTGTTGATCAGGCCGGCGCCAGCCCTGCCCCAAACCACCCACATGTGGGTTCCCAGCCCTGAGGCCCACAGAGCCCGGCTGAAGGGGGGAGGGGGATGGAGAAGCAGGGCCACGGCAGAACGCGGGGAGGCCCTGCGGGAGCGGATGGAGGCGGTGGCAAGCACGGACAGGGTGGCAGGCATGCAGAGGCCTGGAGGCCAGGTACCTGGATGTCATAGACAGGTCTGGAAGAAGGCAGGGCTGCAAAGGCCCTGTAGTCAAACTTCTTTCCAGACAAGGGCTTGAAAGGACAGCGTGAGGGGAGAGGCAGAGAGTGAGAGGAAGAGGGGGTGAGGGCCACGGGGGTGGGGGCAGGCCAGACCCCCCCCATGCCTTGGGGGTGAAGGGAGGGCATAGCCACCGGCTCCTCACCAGGCGTCCCGGGGAGGTGCTGGTCTGGGGGCCGAGGTCTAGGGGGACAAGAAGCGGGTGTTGGAAGCAGCCCAAGCAGCAGGCTGACCCCCCCACCTGCCCTTACCCACGGACCTTCCAAAGGGGTGGGCGACGGGGTGGGCGCAGGGGAAGGGGCCTCCGCCAGTCGCTCCAGGGGCCCCCGCATGCCCCGGCCCTCCTGGGACCTGCTGAGGACCATCTGTGCTCGGAGAGCGTCCTGTTCCAGTGACTTCATCCTGCAGAGAACAGTGGGCAGGGGTGACTCGGGGCAGGAGCAGGGAAAGGCCGCAGGGTGGGGTGGGGACCCCAGGCAGGGGCTTACCTGGCTGCCCTCCACAGTGCACGCTTCTCAGCCTCCAGGGCCCGGCGTTCGGCAGGGGACAGGGCGCGCTCGGGCACTGGTGGCTCCGGACTCTGCACACGCAGCCGTTCTTGGTGGCGACGCTCAGCCTTGGCCGTCCGCACCGGGGCGCCACTTCCCAGGGGTGGGGGGGACGCGGGGCTCTGCCTGGGGAAGGGACAGAACGTGCTGTGTGTGTGGGGGGCACGTGGGGTGAGTCGGGGGCATCTGGTGGGCGGCTGCTCACCTTGAGGAGGGGCTCGGGCCGGCCCAAGGTGGCTCCTCATCCTCCTGCTCCTCCTCGCCCAGCGCCTCCCCGTCCAGGGCGAGCCCCGCTTCGGCCCCAGCCTCTGCCACGTCCCGCAGCATCTGCGCTCTCTTCTGCTGTAGTTTTCTGGCTGCCAGAGGGCAGGGTGGGTCAGGCCGGGCCAGCCTAGACCCGGCCCCCAGCCCACTTCCGTGCCCCTCACCTTCCTCCTCCTGCATCTTCCGCAGGTCGTCAGCACCCACCAGGGACACACGCTTAGGAGGGCCCTCAGCTTGGGGCACGCGCACCTCCAGCTCGAAGTACTTCTGCCGCTCGCGGAAGGACAGTTGCTCCGGGGAGGCTGCAGGTCCAGGCGTGGGGGGCTGGGGGGAGCGAACCTTGAGGTTTGGCTGGCATTCCTCCGGGACACTGGGGCCCCTGAGCACCCACCCCAACCATGCGCAGCAGGGAGGGGTGCTGCTCCCACACACCTGGGCGAGGGCGTCCTCAGGAGGGTGAGAAGTGGGCACGGCCGCGAAGGCCCTGTAGGCCTGCTTCACATTGACGGGCAGCTCATCCGGGGAAGGCGGCTGGGGGGTGGGGCTCCTGTGAGCTACGCTGGGGCAGCTGTCAGGGCTGCAGCTGTGCTCAACTCGCCAATGGCTGTCCCCACTGCCTGCCTTTGATCCCCACCCACCATCCTGCTAGGGAAGGAGGCTCTGCCACCCCCACCCATGGGACAGAGCACTCACGGAGTGGGGACAACCTCTGCCCCTGAGGGCTGGGGAGCCCTTTGGCCACGCCTGAGCCAATGGCTGGATCACCCCTGGTTTTGTCTAAAAAAGGCAGGTGGCAGTGGCGGGGGAAGAGAAGAGCAGGATCAGGGGTACAAGGCAAGGAATGGGGGTAGACAAGGGGAGGGAGACGGGGGGGAGGGGGGAGAGAGGGGGAGGGGGGGAGAGAGGGGGAGAGAGAGGGGGCAGTGGGGGAGGGGGAGGGAGGGAGTGGGGGAGGGGGAGGGAGAGAGTGGGGGGGAGGGGGGAGAGAGAGAGAGAGAGAGAGAGGGGAGACCTGGGTGGGGCTGACATCTTGCCTGTGAGGGGCTGAGCTGGGTCTCATGGGTGCTGCCACCTCCACCTTCACGTGGCAGTGTGTTGGGGGAGGTGCCAATAGTGGGGGGGGCAAGGACTCCCAGACAAAAGGCAGGAAGGGGTGCGGCAGGTGGGCCCTGGGAGGCGTTGGGCCCAAGACACTGACCGGGGTCTCAGGAGCTTAAGCCCCTCCAAGAACAGCACGCTCAGGCCCCCCACCCCATCGCCAGGCAGCTCTGGCCAGGAAAGTGTCCCTGGCTGTCCTCACACAGGAGGCCCCATGGTAGCAGAGGGAAGACCAGAGTCAATGGCACCCCACGCCAGCCCCTGACCCCATCCCTGAAGAGGGGCCCTGTGCACAGCAGCCACCTGCTCTGCCCTCCACCCGCCATGGGGTGCGCCCGTTAACCTGGGACACTCACCTGCTGGCCACTAGGGGAGCAGGGGGCTTCGGCCATCTTCGCTCCAGCTGCTCCAGACGGTACCTGGAGAAGTAGGCAGTGGGTGGGGTGAGGCTGGGCAGGGCTGTGGCCCCGCAGCAGGAGGGACTGGGGGGCCTGGAGCTTGCCTGGAAGGCACAGAAGCCCTTCAGTTCCCCAACCTGACTATAGCCCAGGCGACGCCCCAGACACTCGGTCAGCAAGGAGGGGCTCGTCCCCGTCCCCACAGGATGCGGGGGCCTGGGCTGGGCAGCTGCTGTCTCCACGGCAGTGTGCTGGCTGGAGCTCTGCAGGAGAGATGGGAGCGGACAGGACAGCCGGAGGAGAGAGCAGGGAGGGCTCAGGGGAGGGGCCGGGGACAGAGATGCCGGTGGGGAGCCCCTCCTTGTGGTGTGAAGCCCTCAGGGTTCAAGTGGCACCCTGACCGCTGTCCCCATGGCTGTGCTGTTGTTCATGAGGATGAAGGGCCTCCTGGGAGCCTCCCTCTCAGCGCAGTCCATGGCCAGAGGAGGCAGGGTCGGGTCCTAAGAGCCCCTGAATGGCCTGCCTCAGCCCCAGACCCTGCCTGGCCCCTCACTACCACTCCACCGCTTGGGCAAGGGTCTGGCGGAGCCCATCCCTCAGTCACTCACATTCGGTGGGCTGGCGGGGCACACCCTCTGGGAGGGTTATTTGTATCTTTAAGGGGAGGGAAGGGCCTGCATATCCTCCTGCCTGTCCCCAGCACCTGCCCCTCCAGCTGCTCCAGCCCGTCCTCCCCTTGGTGCCGTGTGCCTGCCCAATCCCCCAGGAGCCTCCGCCTCCAGCCAGCAGGTGAAGCTCTCACACTGCCACCCCGGCCTGCTCGGTGAGTACAAGAAGGTCCTCGGCCTGTGTCACCCATCTGCAGCTCAGCGTGGGGGTGGGGCAGCACCAACATAGCTTGGGTCAAGAATGAGGGTGACAAGCACGTGACAGGCTGGGGTAGCCTGCAGGTCAGACGTGGCCTCCTCCCATCCCAGCCCCCGCCCAAAGCTTCCCTCCCCAACGGCCTTGGCGTTCGTCCTGCGGTGGCCGATGAACAGGACAACAGGATGGAGGTGGGGGGCACTGCACACTGGGCACTGACCCTCTGCACGCCACCAGCGCTGGGCACGGCAGCCAGGGCACGGTAGTCCAGCTTCAGGGGCTGCAGACCCCGACCCTGGGGGCAGAGTGGACACAGCACTAGCAGGAGCAGCTCCATGGCGGCACCCGGCCAGCACAGGGCAAGAGAGGGGGTCCTGGGGGTTACTACCCAGCACCCCACAGGCAATGTGCACCCCCCGTTCCAGTGCCCTGATGGGAGAGGGCAGGGCAACCACACTCACCGTGGCTTCTGTGGCCTCGGGCCCCCAGTGCAGGGTCTGTCCAGGCGGCTCCTTCTCCTGTGAGCAGAGCAGACCCGTCAGGCACCACTGGCCTCGGGCTCCCTGGCCCTGGGGCTGCCGGCTGCAGGCACCTCTGACCTTGCCTGGGCCCTCGGGGCTCAGCTCCCGGTCGATGGAAGAGATGCTCTCCAGGCTGTTCCGGTGGCTGATGCCCGCCGCAAAGGGGTTGGCAATGACACCTGGGGACACCTGAGAAGAGGGGTGTGGGCTGAGAAGTGAGGACGGCAGCCCGGGTCCCACCTCGGGGCAGGATGGGGCCCCAGCCCAGAATAGCCAGCAACAGTGAACACAGGAGCTGCATCCCTCAGCAGGGCTGACCGCGTGGCCGGGATAGCCTTGGAAGGCATTCTACTGGACGCCCCGCCAGGATGCTGCAGTACTGTCCCGGGTCCGTCCCCATCACAGCTCACAGGGCTGCTGTGGACGTGGTCATGTCTGCACTAGGCGAGGTTGTGAAGAGCAATCTCTTCACAGCAAAGATGCCTGCCACTTTGCTATGTAAAGTCACCCCCAGGAAGAACTGACAGCCACCAAGATGGGGGAAGGAGGGGTGTGAGTAGTGGATGCTGGAACTGATGGCACAGAGTGGCCCCCTCAGGTGGAAAGGCTGGCTCCAGATCCCAGCGTGAGTGCTGGGCAGGGATTCTGAAACAAAGGACACCATGCAGGAGGCCTGGCCAGCTCTGCACCCTACAGAGCTCAATGACCTATCCCAAGCCAGTGACTGGCAGGGCGGAGGGGGAGTCTAGAAAGGAAAGGCACCCAGGGAGCTCAGGCAGGGCAGAGGAAGGCCAAGGAGACAGGACCAGCACAGGCAGGGGCTTCTGGCTGGACACAAGATGTACTTGGATCCTGAGCCGGGGTTCACATGGGCAGACGGAACCATGGGAAGAGCTCACTTCCAAGCCCAAGGCGGGCAATGGGACTGCATCAAGCCCCCACCGCCACCAGCAGCCAGAAGGGGCAGCATGGTGGAGACAGGCCTTGTTCATCACGCTCATCACGGACGGGGTCCCTGCGAAGTCAAGGCGCTCTCAATGTGGCCTGAAGGACAAACCCAGCCCTATGCTGTTGCTGGTTAAAAACACAACTGAAATGGTAAGGGGAAGGCAAAGAGAGGGCAGGCAAACACACGGGAGGCACAGAGAGGGGTTGCTCAGGCCAGGGGAGACAGGATGTGAGGTCACAGCTGTCAAGCAGGCAGAGGGATGCTGTCACCACCGAAGATGCTATTTACAATGATACAATCATCATCAACTGTAAGCACTCAACAAGGAAGCAGCTAAACACAGAAAGCACACTAGTAGAAACACGAGAGCATCATAAAAGCACAGTTATACAGGAAGACTTAACTATGTCTTTCAGGCTCTCACAGAACTAGGAGGACAAACAACAAACAAGGTGCCTGTCTTCTCGGTTTCTGAAATAACTTAAGTCAAACAGCCACTGGACAGGTCCAAGAGAGGCAGGGGGGCTGGCAGGGTGGGAAGCAAGGTCACAGGCAGCCCGGCCTCTCTTGTCAGAGAGAGCTGCTCAAACACAGAAAAGGCAGACCAGGGTGCTGACTCTGACAGCCACGGGTGAGCTCATCCTCTTCTATCATTCCAGGAATAACCTTGGGAATGACTGGCATGCCCCCTTACCCCCTAGTTCTGGCCCCCGGGAGGTCCTGAGACGATGTCCCAAGAACGCTAGGTCCAGGGCCAGAGCGCAGCTTCTAAGTGTCACTCTCCACTAAAAGGATCCAGCGCTCCTGAGAGAAATGGCTGACTCTAGGGCTGGGCAGGGCAAGGAGAGAAGCCCAGCACATCCTGGAGGCTGGAGGCAGAAGGTGAGGAGGTGCTGAGGGTGGAGGTTGTATCAGAATGACTCAGGTCCTCAAGCCCCTTCTGTGGGCCAAGTCTGGGACAATTTAAGCATCAAAATAAATTATGATGGTAAACGGCTGTTGCCCATGAAATAAAATGGAAGCTCACTTGTTAATGAAATGGGCTCCCTCGTGAGCTCACGTGAACAGGTAAGCAGACACACGTAAACTGGGAGAAAGGGAAAGCTCGGTGGCAGGAAGCTGCCTGATGAGTGTGGGAGTGGTGGGTTAGGACTGTTGCCAACCACCTCGGGGCCTGCTCAGAACCATCAAGGTGCTGAGGCTCACAGGTGAAACTGGATGAGAAACAGCCTGTTATGTGCTCTGAAAGTACCTCCCACACTTGCTGATTTCAAGGGGCAGGAGTAAGTGCAGGGGGAAACCTGGCTGACCTCGTGGTTCAGAGCATCAGAGTGAGCCCTGGTGGGAGGCGCAGAGACACATGGTAGCTCTGTGATAATCCCGGCCAAGATGCACACGCTGAAGCCTGTGAGGGCATCAGACCCAGCGTGGGGGCAATCACCGCCGGAAGCTGGGAGGGCCTATGCCCACCAGAAGCGTCAAGGTCAGAGGAATCAGCAGAGACAGGCACACTCCACCCGAAGGAGACTAGAGGGAGGCTCCCGCAACGGAGCGCATCCCGCGCAGTGGCTGAGTCATGAATAGGGCTGAGTGTCACAGGTTCTTTGTCCTGTTTTTGCAACTTTTTTCTAAGTTTAAAACTCATTTATGTATGTGCTTATATTTTTCAGAAAGAAATGGCAGAATAGGCTGGGCGCGGTGGCTCAAGCCTGTAATCCCAGCACTTTGGGAGGCCGAGACGGGCGGATCACGAGGTCAGGAGATCGAGAACATCCTGGCTAACACGGTGAAACCCCGTCTCTACTAAAAATATACAAAAAACTAGCCGGGCGAGGTGGCGGGCGCCTGTAGTCCCAGCTACTCGGGAGGCTGAGGCAGGAGAATGGCGCAAACCCGGGAGGCGGAGCTTGCAGTGAGCTGAGATCCGGCCACTGCACTCCAGCCTGGGCGACAGAGCAAGACTCCATCTCAAAAAAAAAAAAAAAAAAAAAAAAAAAGAAATGGCAGAATAAACCAAAATGAATAAAGATGGTGGCCTTGGAACAGAGATGGAGGCTGGTCTTCTGAAGTGACTCTATATAATTTCAGCTTTGGAACCATGTGAATATTTACACAATTAAGAAACAGATTTTTTGTGGTGGCAGACGCCTGTAATCCCAGCTACTTGGGAGGCTGAGGCAGGAGAATTGCTTGAACTCGGGAGGCAGAGGTTGCAATGAGCTGAGATCATGCCACTGCACTCCAGCCTGGGTAACAGAGTGAGACTCCATCTCAAAAAAAAAAAAAAAAAAAGGGCCGGGCGCGGTGGCTCAAGCCTGTAATCCCAGCACTTTGGGAGGCCGAGACGGGCGGATCACGAGGTCAGGAGATCGAGACCATCCTGGCTAACACGGTGAAACCCCGTCTCTACTAAAAAATACAAAAAACTAGCCGGGCGAGGTGGCGGGCGCCTGTAGTCCCAGCTACTCAGGAGGCTGAGGCAGGAGAATGGCTAAACCCGGGAGGCAGAGCTTGCAGTGAGCTGAGATCCGGCCACTGCACTCCAGCCTGGGCGACAGAGCAAAACTCCGTCTCAAAAAAAAAAAAAAAAAAGATTTTAAAAAAGTCACCCTAAAAGCTGAAAGGAATCAGCCCAACTGTGTATCAAGTTGGTAGCAAAACCACAGAATGATCTCAAGTGGCTGAGAACACAGGATGCGGACTGCACGTCCCAGCAGGGTGAACCGTCAGGAAGCAGCCGCCAGGAACTCAGCCCCTCTCCACGCTCCTGCTCTCAGTCGTACCACTGGTGTTGCTGCTTTTGTTTTTAAGAGTCTGTCTTGCCCAGTCTGGACTCAAATTCCTGGGTTCAAGTGATCCTCCTGTTTCAGCCTCCTGAGTAGCTGGGACTACAGGCACATGCCACCACACTCAGCTAATTGTGAAATTAAGGAAAGATTTCATAAGAAAAAGTAGAAAATCACAAAAGTTAGTAAAAACCCTGTAATCTTAAATGAGTTAAATATAACAGTACAAACTCATGATTTTTTCTCTTTCTAAAAACATCCACCTCTCAGTCTCCATCTGCTGCAGAGGCCACAGCAGTGCCTGAGTCCTGAGCACACCCGGCCCACGGCTAGGAGCCCTACGCCCAGCTCCCAACCAGAGGGGCCAGGTCCCACGGCTAGGAGCCCAACACCCGGCTCCCACAGAGAGGGGCCAGGTCCCACGGCTAGGAGCCCAACACCCGGCTCCCACAGAGAGGGGCCAGGTCCCACGGCTAGGAGCTCTACACCCAGCTCCCGCCAAGAGGGGCGAGGTCCCACACAAAAATGGTGGAATCCAGGGCTGGGACAGGCGATACAAAGAATGCCTTGTCAAAGCAGCTGAGGAATGACAGGGTCATGCCACAGGGATGCAGGGCCTTGTTGCCTGATCAAGGGACATCAAGGGAACGCTATGTTGAAACCCATCAGGAAAACAAAGACTCATGAGTTCACGAAAACCCTAAAAACAGAAAGACACCTCAGGAACCACCTTTGGAAGATTCCAGGGCCCCAGCCTGTTATTCTAAAAACTGACAAAGGGAAGAACCAAGCATTTGATCTTCCTAGGTCTTTCCTGCAGGAGCTCACATCAGGACAGAAACAGAGCTAGTGATCTCTCCTTTACAGACAGATCTGCAGAAACGTTAAAAGCCGGAGATGCAGTGGGAAAGACTGAAGGATTCTCCCTGAGAGTGGAAATCAAGGAAATGCCAACAGAAACGGCAGTCTCTTCTGAAGTTCTATTTGTAATGGTGATGACGACAAGGGAGAGGTGGTCCTGATCAGTATTCAGAAGCGGGCTCTGAAAAGGCCATCAACACACAGGACCCTGGTCAGCATGACCAGGAGGAAGAGGACACGGACAGCAGGGCCGAGAGGGAGGTGACTGCAAAGGAGGGGCCCAGTGGGAGAGGACTTGCATCCTCATGCCAAACACGCGGGGTAGCGGGCAAGTCTTCTCAGACAGCGCACAGCCACCTAGGTTTGCGCAGGGGTCTTGGCGCCGACCATGGCGAGGCAGGTCTTTACTGAATCAATCCTCTCGACCCCGAGAAGCAGGCACCGTGGGTGACCCATTGTACAGACGAGGAGACTGAGGAGTAAAGTCAAGCGCCCACCCAAGGCCCGACAGCAAGTGAGGGCCAGGCTTAGATGAACTATGCATGACCCCCAAAAATGCACAGTACTAGAATGCAGGAGACTTAAGCTCTGACAAACAAACATGGGCCACTGCTCCAGAGTGCTGGGGACGTGCAGGCACTCCTGAGCCAATGCCAAGATGGGCTTGCATAGTGAGAAGAAAGTTACGGAACCCAACGGGCAAACCGATGCCCGCAGGGCCAGGCGGACACACACAGATGAGTCCAGTGGCCTAAGAAAAATGGGGAGGGGTCACCAATTGAAGCCCCCCCACGCCCATGCTCTGGAGTCAGAAACAGAAGGTCCCGTGGGAGCACAGGCCTGGCCGCGCCACGGCTGCCGAGCTTTTTGTGGGAAGCCAAGAAGCTAGACATGGCGTGGACTCCTGACGTGTGAAACCCGCTCCTCTCTCTCAAGCCCCAAGCCTGCTGATGAAACCTCCATGGGCCGAACCAACCCTACTTAGCAGATAAGAGGACTTCAGAAAACTCAACACCCGCTTCAGATAACAATTCTTACAGGTTATAAATAGAAACAGCACCCCCCCAATCAATTTAAAAAACGTTGTAAGAGTCTACAGCAAATGTCACACTGTAAGATGAAAGTCCCTTAGAGCAAGCCCCCACCTCCACAGGACCAGGGGCTCTGCAGGAGGGGAAACAGGAGAGGCCCAAGGTGGGAAGGGTGACCGGGCTTCTGCCAAGAGGTGAAGCAGACTTATAAATCCAGGTGAGGATTGATGAGAATTACCAGGAAAGCAAGAGCCACCTTGGCGACACCCTAGAGAAAAACTCAACATAGAGATAACCCCAAGGCTGGGCGCAGGGCTCATCCCTGGAACCCCGGCACTTTGGGGGGTCAGGTAGGCAGGTCACTTGAGCCCAGGAGTTCAAGACCAGCCTAGGTAACATGGCAAAAGCCCGTCTCTACAGAAAACAATGAGCCAGGTGTGGTGGTGCGGCTGTAGTCCCAGCTACTTGGGAAGCTGAGGAGGGAGGATCGCTTGAGCCCGGCAGGTTGAGCCTGCAGTGAGCAGCGACTGCGCCACTACTCCAGCCTGGGTGACAGAGTGAGACCCTTTCTCAAAATGTGTATATATATACATGTATGTGAAATCCTAGAATTCCAGTCGGTTTTTGCACGGAACTCGGCAGGTTCATTTGTAAGAGAAAACACATGACCATAGAAACTTTTCAAGACAAGAAAAAGGAATCGGTGACTTTGCCGACGAGGATTAGGTATGAGACCTGCTACAAAGTGAGGCATTTAAACGCGTGGCCCAGAAGCAGCTCACAGCTCCCTGGGACCACGTCCAGAAACAGAGCTTGGAGCCCACAGGAACTGAACACAATGAGGCCACATTTCCCCCAAATCACTGGGGAAGCGACAGACTATTCAATCGATACTGCGGGGACAGCTACGCATCCAGTTACTTGCAAAGCAATTCCAGGGCTGGGCGTGGGGACATGGCTTGAGCACGGGAGGCGGAAGCTGCAGTGAGCTGTGATTGTGCCACCACACTCCAGCCTAGGTGACAAGCGAGACCTCGCCAAAGCAATTCCAGGTGAACCACGGAGCTGTATGTTGTTTAAACTTCCAGAAATACTAGAAGAAAACGGGACAATGTTTTTGTAATCTTGCAATAGGGAAGATCTTCTCAAGGAAAAAACCAGAATCCAGAAGTCATAAAGGAGTCGTAAGACTTAATTTAAAAATTGAGATTTTTGTAACTCAAAAGATCCCATTTTTTAAAGAAAAACATAAGCAAGAGCTGGAGAAAAACACATCTGTACCCACAGAACCAAGATGAGTAACCAGGGCGCTGGACGGGAGCCAGGGCAACAACAGAGCGCAAGGGCAGTGCTGGGGCGGACGACGAGCCCCCGGGAAGACAGACGGACGCGGGAAAGAGGCAGCCATGATGGGGAAGGGGAGCTGGACGCAGCTCTCAGCCCTACTGCTCGGGGCCCCTGGCCTGCCCAACACAGCAGAAACAGTATCTGCCTCCAACACCAGGGAGGGTATGGTGGCTCCGTCCGTTGCGGGCCAGAGTGTGAGATCTGAGACCCCTGCCCCTCCGGTGTCACGGCAGGCTCGTGGGGGACCCGGCCAGATGCAAGGAAACCGGTGGCGACAGCAGTGCCGCACGTGGATGCATGCCGGCTACAGACACAGCGCTAGCCCTGCCTTCTGCATACCTCACTCTTCCCCAAGGGAGCGCGTGCTCTCTCTTTCTCTAACAAAAACTTCATGAGTAAATGTATCAAATAAAACATGTTTAGACATCTACTTAAAATAAGTAAATACAAGGCAAGGCCCTTTCTGAGAACCAGATGGTTCAGGGCTTGAGTCCTCAGATAAATCCTTCCCTGGAAACCACCCGGACTCCCTCAAGGACAGGAGGGGAGGTGGGTGAGGGCCGGTCCGGGGCCAGCCCCAAGCTCGCCCCAAGCCCGCCCCAAGCCCAACGTCCAGCTGTGGAGTGAAAACTACGAATGCACTTCCTACCAGGGGCCCCCACGCTGGCTGTGGGTCAGG